AAGAGAGGAAGACCCGCCAAAGAAAAAACCAGCGATTCTCCAGCATCTGCTACCCCAGCTAGCAAGAAGAGAAAGGTATCTGATGATGCTGGTACACCAAGCTCTGCTGGTCGTGGTCGCCCCAAGAAGATTAAGGCTTGATTTGATTCATTATCATGGAGTATTACTGTTCAGAGGAAGGTCTTGTGGAACCGACTAGTGGTTTTCTTCGAAAAAACGTGTCTATGCAGGTATTATCCCCAGGCCCTTGATTAGGCTTTTGCATTACTGTTTCTTTCTGCAAAAATGGACATATGGAACAGTAATCGCGTTGGGTTCCGCGCTGAGCTTTTGATATTTGCTTATCACTGGCGTTGATCTGGAGATATGAACGGATGGACGGGATGGGTAAATTTTTTATGTTTTCTCTTTGGCTGGGTTTTGTATGATAACACAAATATGGAAAGAACATCAGTTGTGCTACAATGAAATGTTTCTTAATTTCATTTGATTTAACTTGAATTGTCGAATGCTTATATATACCGTGCTAATTACCATATTCTACGTGACTAAAACTATAGCATATCGAGTTCGGATATTGAGGTCTACAGCTATGATGACGTGTATATGTATTTTACTCGGCTCAGCCTCTCCAAACATTAACACATATCATCTTTTTCCCTTACACGACACAGAGGGAGAACTCTATGATGACATTTTAGACACTAGAGCACCTCCACCGAGCATACGACATAGATGTAAGCCCAAGTTTTATCTCAACGAATGCAACATATTATTTCTATTAAAGTTGTTTCGTCCGCCTTTCAATATAAGCACAAAATAGTCTAACAGCCTCGGGCATCCCATCATTGACTCACACGACGCTATTGACTGTCGAAATCATCATATTGATAGCTCCATTCATGTTTGCAGTAGCTATGAGGACTTGTGCTGCATGTCGTGTCAAATTTTAGGGAATCGGGGATATGCATATTGTTGCACGTCATAAAGTTGGGTGGCGGGTGTTGTATGGGTTGGGAGGGGTTGGGTTGGGATTTTCATGAGTATATTGGGTCTGCTTACCAGATATGGTAACAGTATGGAACAGCGAGTTGCTAAGATTGATGGTATCACGGGAAGAGCAGTATGCAGTCAAAGTCGAGAGATGTGGAGGGATAAAGCTATATGTTAGAGTTTATAAATTGTACTACCTAGGTATTATTAGTGAACATAACTTCTGAGAGACTCGGTTTAGATCCATCCTTTCCATTCGTGTCTTTATATATCAGCCAATGATACAGCCAAGGTAAGACCCAACACGCTCAGTTATCTAATCGTGCTTTGACTTGAGATGTGCAACAAAACGCACAGAAAGTCTTGTTCGGAATATTCCCAGATGTTTTATTTGATTGGGAGCGCTGATCTAATTGGAGGACAAGCAATGGTTTTGAGGGAGGAACTAAAAGGAGGCTAAACTAGAAGGATATGATATTTCAACGCTTTGACAAGCGAGGGGGAAAGAATATGAGGTTTCAGGATGAAGTAGTGTGATGTTTCGATGAGAGGAAACTCTCTTTATAATATGAGATTTGCCTACCTGCTATTAGGTATTGCTCTTACATCTGATGTTCGTATTCTCCAATCTTGCTCAAGCTGGTGCTCGGAAACTCACCGATAGGGACGACAGCTAAGGTAGACATCACGTTTCATTCGCTCTTGGGTCAAATTCATCTTATTCTTTGTGAACTTAGTATCGAAAACCGATCACTGATACTATTCATTTCACATTCCAAAGTTAGTCTTGATCCTCGCTATATCCTCAGTTAGGCATCAAGGACCCTCCAGCTGCTCTAGATTTAACTCTCACTCTAAATTAAGCAAGCGCTTCCCCACATCTATATTTATCCCAACTTTCCAACCTCAAATCTTACTTCCCGAACGCATCACCAATCAATCAATGAATCTCACACATCACGAAATGTCACTCCTCTTCTCACTCTCAACCAAACAATTCTTTTGCCAACAACAATCCTCAGGCAGTTAATCACCTACACCGTCAGCCTTTACCACAAAACGTATCTCTCGATGTCTTTTGTTGCACATCGCATTCTGCTCGCGAATTTCCTATTGCGTTCAAGGAATAGATGATTGGCTATGATGGACTGAGAGAGGAGCCATAGAATTTATGGATCGAGATAAGCAGCAGTATTAAATGGCTATCACGATACGAAGTACTGCGAAAGAAAGCCAAAACTTGGGTCTACCGAATCTGAATTGTACCACGTCATCGAAGCATTTCAAGCCTTTAATAAGTCTGGTGCTTCAACTATCAATGCATATGGGTGATCTCCCGAGATTTTACCCCCCAATATTTGTATACAAGGATGAATTTGAAATGGAGCTCCTATTCGTCCATGTATACGAGGCGCGTATACACACGGACTTGCAAGCGCCTTGTTCGATGTATATTTTGAAGGACGCTGGGACTTTGAACAATTGTGTCTATGCTGAGTTAGCATAGATTGCACTGATGGATATTGACCAATTGATTATCTACTCAGCCCTCCTTGTATGCAATGAATCCCTTTGGTTGCATTCCTTCTTGGAGTCGTCTGTGCTCCTGTTGCTTGTACCATTGCCTGGAAAATGTCCTGTTGCAGATCTCATCTTTCATGCTGGGTTCTTAATCGCTACTTACCTCGCATTAGGCTTCCGAGTGGATGGTCTGTATGTGCGTCAACTCTTGAATATTATAAGGCCCGCCTCTCTGTACTTGTAAATCTCAACAGCTCGATCACGAAGCTTTCAGATACAGTCTGCCAGGCCTCTTGGTTCTCTGCTCGTATAAGGCTCGGCAGTGCATATTATTTGTTGCTCAGTACCCATCTTACTAGCAGGTGTTCCCACCTCGATCTCGTTAATTGGGAAGTTCATCTCTTGAAACATCTCCAGCTAGAAAATGGTAAACACCTTCCTGATTCTGCCTTCAAACGGCCCATATATCTTAAGTACATCCGTGAGGTTTTTCGATAGATATGCCCTCTACTGCGGTCCGCAAATGCACCTCTGCGCAATATCAAAGCCCCAACTGTACCGCATTCGCTTAGAAAGTTCATTGCGCGCCTAATCGCAATTGTGAGATATCTCCAGAGGTCTTCATTCCGGTCTCGGTTCTCCAAAGCACTAATTATATGCATGTTTTTACAAGGGAATCCCTAGTAGGGACTCATGTGAGTCTCCCTTATCTCTTGGAAATGTACGTAAAGATATTGATTCTGGCATCCTAACAATTGTTGCCTGGTCTCCGACCTACAAATCAATCACCACAAGTCTATATATACGTATTAGAGAGAGAGAAGGCCACTTGAAGTATATTACAGTCCGGGGTCTTCTGCCTTCTAATGAGTGAGTGATTTGTATCGAACTTGTCGAGCTGTGGTCAAGCTAAGGTATATTGTAGCCGGCCAGGAGAACGTCTCCCTCTGTTGCATGTCATGATAGGCGCGCGTCTAGAGAGCTTGGCTTGATGGGTCACATTTGAGTAGGTCAAGAGAAACATCTCAACATAATGACTTACTATGATTATTCATTTTAGGCCAATGGTGGGTAGTTTGCTACCGCTTTTGAAACATAAGTGCAGTTGTGTTGCATGTCGAGATTAGGCAGCGAATATAGAGTTGTAGCCTTTCACAGTTAGTAAGGTCATCTCGAGTTTTTATCACCCCTGCTACTGATGTAGACGTGCAACAAATATTTTCTTGAGCACTTGAGTGGAATCGAAAGTTTGGGGTTATCCGCAGCATGTGAGTCTCAGAATGAGATCAACATACATAAAGTCAATTGCTCTAAACTATAGCTTTCACGTGATATTGTTAAGGCGTACTACGATTATTCTGGTTACAGAGTGCGCGAGTCATAGTATTGACTACAGACTTGAAGACAAGTTGCTGTTAGCAATATTCATTGTCTTATAGGAAGAGATGAGGCATCAGCAAATTGCCAGGTAATTGTGGCACGAACTCTGGAGTCTTTTGTCCCAAGTAGCCCTTGTTAACAGCTCTTTATGTGTTCAAGGCAACTACCTTCTTCAAAAGATTTATGGTCAAGTAGAAATCGAGAAGAAAATATGATTCTTGTTCTCTTACAGGTGAGAATTTTCACAAGTGGAGATCGCCCTTGATGAATTTAGATTAGCTATTCCAAATTAGACAAACCGCCCGTAATGTACACTACCAAGACTTTGATGATTAATCCTGACCTAAATCCAGAATTTCGTTTCTGTATTGTGGTGCTGATATCTTTTGTATGAATCTCCCATGTGCCCTCGAGCTATTCTTACCTTTGCTCGAATGTTTGCAAACAAACAGAGGACTTTCTACTCACAAGAAGACTAAAGTACATGTAATAAGCTTGGAGTTTCCTAGGCTTGAAGATTCTCAAGGCTTCCAGTGTGTAGAAGAAACTGATAGGTACGAGGACTTCCAAAGTATACTTACTACCAACGCCATGCACCTCTCAGTAATCGAATCCATCTGGCTTTAGGAAACATATCATCGTTCAAGATTTCTTTATTTGTATAGTCTGGGGCTTTCAAGAAGTTTAGCCATATTCATTTACCATGAGTGAATGAAACAATTCGCCACAAAATTTCATGTCCATCAATCGTCTAATGTCATTAGCTGATACAATTCAATTTGCAACTCACACATTGCATCGTTATACAATATCATTACACCCAATTGAGCTAGGAACTAAGCTAGTTGTTGATCTTGTTCATACATGGACTTGCAAATTGATATAAAAGTTTTCCCCTTCATCTACATGAACTCAATCTCCGACAAATCTGTCAAAGCAAGATCCTTTGATGCCCCAGAAAATCCCCTGAGATAATTGACTTTTAGGTTATTTCTCAATCCTTCTATTGTATTGCAACCCTTCTCTTCAACTATCTCCTCTTACCTAATTGTGCAGAATATTACCAAATCAAAAACAAGTCTCGACCCCTGAGATTGTCGGTAAACATGCCAGATGTAAGTAGCACCAACATTCTCTCATGAGATTTTTGACTCACCTACATTGCAGTCTTTCTCACGGAGAAGTAACAAACAAGAAGATAGCAAGAATCCAGCCCAACTCGAATGCATCGTTTGTGGAGAATCTCAAGATTTTCAACAAATGGCTAAATTTCCTTGCGATTGTGTATATTGCAGCGCATGCCTCCAAAGCCGGGTCACTAGAGCGACAGAGACCGAGTCCATGTTTCCTGTCAAATGCTGCCGGAATAATATCAATCTCACGCCCTTGTATCACTTATTGTCTGCAGATATCATTCGCGACTATGAAGTCAAGAAAATCGAATACGAAACCGTAGATCGTACTTATTGCGCCAACAAAGTGTGCTCTGCATTTATCGTCAAGGGAAATACCAAAGGACATCAAGCTTTTTGTTCCAAGTCGCCGTGCAATACGATCACATGCATACAGTGTAAGAGCGAATGGCATGATGGAGAATGTCCTCGGGATCAGAATCAAGAGCTCGTTCTTGCCGAAGCTCAGAAAAGAGGCTAGAAACGATGTGCGAAATGTGGTAGCTTGATCGAATATGTGGATGGGTGTCGTCAGATGGTGTAGGTCCTTGATATTTTCTTTCTTTCTCTGTCGTGCTTTCCAAGATTGAAAACTAATTCCCACCTCACACTCTAGATGTCAATGCGGCTATGAATTCTGCTATTGTTGCGAGGCGGTATGGAATACTTGTTGCTGCAAACAAATTGACCTTGATCGAGTGCTCGGAGCTACCAATGCGTATGCAGATAATGAAAATCGCATAGAGGTCAATGAAGATGGTGAAGATGGGGATGAAGATGGCGATGAAGACAGTGATGGAGACGATGATGAGGACGATGATGAGGACGATGATGAAGACAGTGATGAGGACAGTAATGGAGACAGTGATGAATACAGTGATGAAGACAATGATGAAGACGATGGTACATACGAGTATCTACCCGAGAATTCATAAAGATAGAGTCGAGATTACAAATAGTGTCATAGAGACACAATCTGCCGTGGTTCATCGGGATGAGGTGTATGACGAAGAGCTTTAACGAATGGTACCTGGGAGTTGTGGGGAATTGCATATCGTGGTTAGGGCGTTGATTAGGATTCTAAAGGCGCATTCATGGAGTGTGCATTGTAGTTAGAGAGTTCTGGGTATATGATTCACGGGGTGATTTGCGGGCAGTGGTTGAACAGTTCTAGCAATTCAGCGGGATGGGTTTGGGTTGAGATTTTCTTGCATCTTGCATCTTGTTTTCCATATCGAGTTACTAGGATGCTGCCAGTCAAGTAGTTTATTCGTATAAATGCAAGATACTAAATATCTAAATATGCTTGCGTGAATACATACTTTTTCAGGTGGAAGGGCAAAATCATTGTCCAAATTATTTATTACCGGTAGCCGTAATGTTAACAGAAACCCAAACTAAGTAGACATTTCCTGCCCAAAGCCATCCTGATTACCAAAGAAGTGTAAGAATATGTAACAAAGTGCGTTCCAGATGAAATCTCGAATATGAGGGGAATATAGGCAACTTCAAAGGTATGGCAACTGTGCAACTCGATATACCTGGCACAAACTCGAAACACGTTCAGAAGCTTTATTCATTTATATATATATATATATATATACTCTAGACACCGGGGCAGGGGGGGGGGGGGGGGTAGGTTTTTATATCTTTTTCCTATCTAATTCATTCAATTAGACACAGATACAGGCGCATCGCATGGTCTTAGCATAGCTATATAGATCGAATCGATTATGAATTTACTACTACTACTACTATATATACTCTTTGTCTATAAGACGGAATCCCATATGAAGAATCTCACTTTGATGTCGAAGAAGTGAATACGTGTAACTAAATGGCCGTGAACCTTCGACCCCCAGACTAGCGTTCAATTATGTGATATCGCAGAGCAGGTGTATTGGTAAGAGCAAGAGCTCGACAATGTGAATTTGTAGGATTTGCACCATAAAATTGTTTGAGTTCCAAGTTTCCAATGTATTTTGTTGTGTGGGAAGGTTGAGCGATAGAGGATGAAGAGGTAGAAGGTGTCATGGTCGTTCAAAGATAACCCGCGTATAGAGAGGAACTGTCGAATGATGTGTGTATCTCGCACACGACCGTTGAGTTTCATGCTGTACGGTTGCAATGATAGGTTCTCTGTGGCTGGTTCTTGCTACTGCGTTGGTGTAAAAAGCATAGAGGACTTCGTAGACATGAACGCATCTCGATGGCATCGTGTAATAGATATATAATGAGCAGGCAGATACTGTAATTCATTAGCCTCGGAATCATTTGGTGCTATATAAATGAGTCTCTGTCAATTTGAAACAGAAAAGTACATCTGCTGTCATGCTTTCATGCATACCTGGGAATCGAAAGGAAATAAAGTCCAAAGACATTGTTGCTGGAGCAAATTTAGAGTCAAAGACAAGGAAGTCTGTAAACGATGGATCAGAACATGAAGGCGGAAATGCTAAAAATGTTCATATGGAAAGGGTAGGGAAGATTCCTCTTGCATTGTTTCAAGCAGGTAAATCTGTGGTGTTGTGATGCGAGCAAAAGGTAAAGATTGATTGCGCAGCCTCGCGCTGATGATAAAATGTGTTCTTGCTTGATACGAGTGTCGCACATCTCAGTCCTTCATCAACAAACTGTAGGTACCTCTTTTGGAACTGCAAAGCATTGTTGTTATATAACCAAACAATTAACAGATCAAAAATACTCGAGTAAATTTCCTGTTTTGGAACAACAACATCAGAACAAAAGTGGGGCCCATAGGCAAAAAGAACCAGAAAAATGACAAAAAAAGCAAAAGGATAAGTAGAAAGGTACGTGCAGTTAATTCAACAATGTAGATGAACGCTGTGTACCTAACTCACGAGGGGACCTCGAAGCTGTCGGAGAGGACGGCCAGTTAGTTTAACAATATAGATAAACGCTGTGCCCCCAAGCAGAGGGATCAGACCATTCCGCGAAACTGTCCGAAGACGAAGGAGACAGCATTAATGGGGAACAAGTATACCAAAAGCGGTCCTTGCGGATGTATGCTCAGTGTGCAATTTTGATATTCACCTCGCAACATTCACCGACGACGTCCCTTATCGGCTTTGTGACAAAGACGCGTCGCTGGTAAAAACTATGAGGTCGCCGTATGAAGTCGCGTGAACGAATTGAATTTACGAATCTCGTGATAGCCACAATAACGATTTGCTTACCAAGCTCAACCATACATGCTCCCTTCCACCTCCGTTCAACCACATCAAAATGAACACTGCAGTTAGTGATTTTTATTCTCTGTGCCGCCAGATGGGTCACCATCCTCCTGCATTTATCAAGCTCAGTAACCAGCCAAAGAACCGTGTTACCCTAGTTGTAACAGTATTTGGCCAGCAAATTGTCTCCTCGCGTTCAGAGAGCAGCTACAAGGCAGCAAAAATTGCTTTGGCTAGAGAGGCCACACATTATATTAGAGGTGATCAGACTACTTGGCCACAGATGGTATTTGATGCTGTATGTTTGATTATCCATATGAGCCGTCAGCTCTGGCTAAATCAACGTATAAGGGCAATGCAGTCTTTGGAAAAAATGGGCAAAACATCAGCAATCCAAGCGCCATGCAACACCAAGCGGCTAATTTGGCTGTAAGTATATCATGATACCAATCCTCACGTATCCCCGATAGTCTAATGAAAATATAGCCGGTCACCCACAACGCCCTTAGCGCTGATGACCAATTATATCTCGAAAAGCACTTCAGACGTAACATTATCAGTAAAATGGGCAGCGGCACTGGTGCTCAGGTTACAGCAGCGGCCGACCTCATTGCTGATTTCGTTTTAAAACTTCCTGAAAGACAAACAACGGAGTGGCATGAAGCGATGAGGATCTTAACGGAGAGACCGGTCCAAAGATTGAATGAGGGCAGTGGCTAGACGGTGTTATATGTTTCTAGTGTTGGCTATCTAGATGTGTAAGCCACGGGAATGGAAAATGGAAAATAGCCAATACTGCAAATTCTTGGAAAAGATTTGAATTTAATTATTCAATTTGATTTCAGAAGCAAACTTGAAGGAGGGTGAATCGAACTAATTCATTTTGGCATTCATTTTATTCTCGAGCGAGAAGAGTCGAACTAACTACCAACGACGGTTAAACCAATTGTTATAGCGAGCTACTACTCAGCTTCTAAATTCCATATGTCTCTTTTTGGCTTCGGATTTTAGATATTATGGATCTATTCCCCAATTTCGGGTTTCGATTCAAAAAGCAAATGGTGTATTTTTCACGCGTTGCTTTCAATGCTTCTCCAGCTTTTGAAAAATCGTGACCTCTTCTTACTCTCTTCCGTTGCTTCCATCTCTTTTCGACTCTAGCTTTCTGTTGATCGAGCAGCTAGTCTTGCTGTGTGTTGCAAATCACGTGTTCATTACACACGTGATTGTATTCTTCATGGATGTTATTCAGTGCACTGCTCACTATTCGATCTAGCCTAGACCTGCGCCTTAATTTCAGTAGTAAAGCTAATGTTTACATGAGCTGCTATCTTGGCATAACAGGACCGACCGTGCACAACTCCTCCTCGTCCTTTGAAGCACTATGAAAGGAAACCATCCTAGGCTGCCATGATGCGAAGAATTACTCATACAATCCCGAGCCCCTTTCTTCATTCCAAATTCGTGCTTCTCTTGCGTTGCCCTGCAATTGTCTAGGACGCGCAACAATTCAACATCAAAGCTTCTCCAGCCTCCTTTCAATATTTCCCCATGCACGTAACCACCTCAGCTGCAAACTTCTGCACAGGTCCATATTTCTCATGCAAAACGATTCCTTCCTCAAAAGCACCTGCACATATGCAACGAGGTCTCTCACCTCCCTTGCCGTTTCAGAATCAAACGACATAGATACCAGCCCTCCACTTTCCAACAACATGAATTCTCATGTTGAAGGACACGAAGGATTTTGATACTCCACTCCCCATCTCCCCACGACCACTCGAATCCTCCTCCTCCTTTATCGGAGAGTCGGAGACGTATCATATTAAGATCATCAATGACAATCCGATCACATGCATCATCTCGCACCTAGACTTCCAGGTTTTTCGGATTCGCAATCTGTCGATCGCGGACACCCTACGCTTCTCATCCATTCTTCATTCCTTGATCATACATCTCCGTGGCAAAATGATATCTACAGCATCCAATGATTGAAGCTGGAAAGGGGCGATCCCATGTATATCTATGCTTCGGTTCCTATCCGATATGTGCCTCAATCTATGGACTTTTGATCATTGACGCCGTTGACGCCTTAATCTGATGGATCTACACAACATCGTTAACCGAACCCAAAGGCAACAACCACTAACAGGTCTCGAATTCCTCGCTTCAAAATCCTATGGCCGCCCTTACCTTTTCACCAAAAGGCATCTTCAATCCTCACCCCACCGGCCGTACGGCATGACCCCGGTCCCATTACACACCCAATCACAATACATTAAATCTTGCATTTGGCTCTCTGCATTTCGTCCGGCACTTGCTTGAATCCAGCACGAATCCACCGGACTTTGCGTCCCCCGCCCACTTAGTAATATTCCCAGTCCGCTCCGCCCCATCACCAACCCCTGGTTCTGAGACTCGGGCCACCAACCAACCACTGAGCAGATCCAAAATTAACCTTTACATTATCCCCTGTCCCTGTCGCTCAGGTAACACTATCTGGCCTCTTTCCAGGTCAACCTCCTCGCGTGCAGACTCGCTGCAGTTGCTTTGTTTGCCTTATGGACGGTGGAGCTAATTTCTTAGTGCGCTTCCAAAGACCAGGATGGCAGGTTCATTGATCATGCGACTACCATGCGCTATTAAATTCCCAACCATAGAGGGAATTTCCACTAGCACATGCCATGATACAGCCTACAAACAGACCATATGTTACACTACGAAGTACTCCGTAGAGTCCCGGCCCTGGGTCAATGAATTAGTGACCCTCCATGTTGGCGCCTAAAGCTTTGACAGTTTATGTTTGTCAATGTTGTTCAGCATAAAGAAAAAAGACCCTTAATCTATGTCAAACTTTAAACAACTCAAGGAACCCTGAGTCTTGAGATGCTGAGGTGCGAAATAAGGAAGTTGTGAAGTAAAATCGATTACGCTAAGGTTAAGGATGATGCCCAAGCTAAGCGAGAAAGCTAAGGATTTTCATCAAGAATCTATGGGGCGGAAAAACAATTCCCGGTACTAATCCACAAGCACATGCGTGTGCTTCAACTTTCAAGAGGACGCAACGGATCCTTATTATTGTTCTAGAAAAGGAATGGAAGGGGGGAAAAGCCCCAGAGGCTAGGGCAAACCCAGCAAAAACTTCAGGTGTAGGAGGAATAGATCAAGGCTAACCTGACTAACCTTTTCTCCAACACACTTCAATTGACCACTCGCAACAGCTTTCTTGCTTACGATTCTGCATGCATGTTCCTTTCAAACAAGTCAAACTACTGTACTCCTTCTCCTCGCGTGCGCCAAGTGTCTCAATTTCTTCTGGAAGGTCGCATGGAAGGCCGCATGTCGTGTTGAACATGTGTTCGTTCCTTCGTCTCTTTGGTATATGTACATACCCTATAAATCTCTTCACACCGCCTCTTCATTTCCAAAGCTCCTCATGTACGATTACTCTTACATTATGGAAGTTGGAATAAAATCAATGCATTAGGATTAGGATTAGGATTAGGATTAGGCACAGGAACAGGATTTACTCACGCAAGCTCCATCCAACATTTCTTTGCGAGAAATAGAAAGGAAATGCCACGCGAGGAAATACTCAGAATGGATCTACTCCATCACCTCCAGATAAATTGCAGCATGGAAGTCTACCGGTCATGAGCACCAGTAATATGCAATGTAATGTAATGTCATGTCATGTACGGCGATATATTGCATGCACATGCCTGCAGGTGATATAAATCTCGTAACGTAACAAAGATCATTTCGGGATATCCATCGCCAATCTCCAGCCCAAACGACACAAATTTCAGCATAGCGTAGAGCTTGCGCAAACGGAAATTCACACACAAAACGTCGTAAAATTACCTATAACTTAAGATTTACATGAGATTCATTACCTGCACCAAGGCTCCATCTTAAAAGATACTGGCCAGGGATGTTAGTCACAAGATCGGAGAATTCCGCTCTGTGCGCCAGCGGTTCATTACTCAATCCTAACTTTATATACTGGATCCCCCCATTTAGCCTGTCTGATCGAGCGTGTCTCCTGCCGAATATTCTTGCTGGTATTGTCTACCGAAACGCCTTTACCGAAACTAATCGTCTACAGCTTCCTGGTTTGGCAGTGGACGGTTCGGGGTTTAGGACTTCATGATCCAAATTGTGTGGAAAGAAGGTTCGGCTATAAACACTTATCACTAGTTCTTGTGGGCATATGATCACAATGAAGCACAACCGTTGGATTTCCAATCTTGGCTTACGGGTAAAAACTTAAAAGTCTAGAAGTGTATCCGAATTGAGAATTATGAAAAAGAAGCGATGCATTTACAATTCGAGCCTATTTTGTGGGAATTTGCCGTCGTGTTTCTGAGGGTATTTCCCGAGACGAGATTTTGATTGAGACTCCTTACATGTGTTTTATAAGGATGATTTCGGCCCGTCCGATGACATCAATTACATAAATGGTCTCGGAACGCCATCTGTTTTCGAGAGTGCGGCGAGGATTTCCACGTGTGATTTGGGGGTCTGCCGAAGTGGAAGTTCAGCACGGTGATGAACCAAGCCTCTGGTGTGACAGTTCACGAATCCTGTGTATATTGGATTCAAAGAACTAACGGAGATTGGATGGGAATGCGGATCGAGTGGAAGAGGAAGATTGGAAGAGGAAGTACATGAATGCTCTTCGGCGTCTTAGTGTTATCTGTTCATACTGTAATGTAATACGCCGAATATAATAATGTTTAAACGCCTTTCTTGATACGAACGCACAAGTAAAATTTCACATCCAAGCCAACGTCACAGTATGTCAGCACAACTGGGTACTTGGATATATCCATAAGATGCCGAATCAAACGTTCAATGCAGGGTCCTGCACCACACCAGGGGTTTCTTTCATCTCTCTCCAGCAACTCACTCGTCATCCATTTAGCATCGTTCCCAAAGGAGAAATGCAAAATTTATGAGCGGAGTTCAGATTCCACTCCTCTCCTCTCCTCTCGAATCTCCATCATGGAAGATCTTTCTTCCATGCCTTCCTGCCACTAACCAGGCACATATAGGATACATCCCACCTTTAGCACCTGAACTACCGCCGCACAGGTTTTAACTTTCCAGCATGGACCAAACGTTGAACGCTCAAACTCAAAATACCAAGCTCTCTGCCAAAGATCCACTCATTATGTATTACTACAAGACCTTGGAAAAGTCAATTAGATTCGACATCCGTCAGATAAATACTTCCACAGCACGGAGCAGATAATGAGCAGCCTTGAATCGCTACAACTTGTCATGGCTAGTCCACCTTGTGCTAAGCTTATTGGTGTACACACGTTCTTAGTTAACACTGCAGCTCAACATCATGATCAACGATCCACTATACAGCATACTCACTCATGTATCCCGTCGCACAATCTTGTCACCGCTTGCGAAGATTCTCCAGATACCGGTACTCCTCCCAAAATCTCCATCAAATCTGCGTTCTGATATCCATACCTAGGGACGATACACATGACAAGTTACAACGTTGCAGCTACATGAATCTGGAGAGGAAATTAGGTTAATCTTCGCCTCAACATCGGCCTCCCTCCCCCTCTTTCCCTCCCTCATTTCTTATCTATCAAACGAATTCAAAGACATCATCACATCGAAGATTTCCCGAACATCTTATCATCAACTGCGAGATATCTCATCTCCATCTCCCAAAATCACGACTCACTCGCTCTCTCACCAAACCAATCTCTCCCGTTCCTATCTCCTCCAAAGGAGATCTTCATCCCAAACGTCATTCATTCCACTGCTATCTGCACCATGCATGCTCGGCGCCGGGTATACTGTATGTAAAGTGAGGTCATGACATTTGGGTTTCTCGTCATGCGTATCTTGAATTGTAGATCTATCATGTCCTCCTCCCCGTGGCCTCGATCCAACTCTCAAGCTTCCTCTATCTACCTCTCTCCTTCGCAATCACACAATCTCATAAGATATCAGCTTGGTAAAAGTCCATCGGATGCAATGACTAAGCCACATGAACACACGAGCCTCCTCCTTACTCATGCTCATGCACCACCCCCACATGTTTCACTTCATTCATTTCACCTCATTATTGAAATTTCACGTGGTCTCTATTTACAGGACCGAACAGAACTGGTGGACGGGAGGGCCTCCCTGTCTGAAACTAGGGGTCCTCTAGTCGTCCTGTACTCCTTGACACCAATTTCCATTTGTGAGACCCATCAGCTACTCCATAGACATTAGCCACGATCATACACAATGGTTGATCTCTAGAAATCTCGACCATAATCGAATCGAGATACTGTAGATCATGTGCACAAGAAAGGAGCATTTTCCACAAAATCGAGTTACAACAAAACATCCAGAAGATCCAGTATAATGACATCTTTAATTCCCATACTAATGACCTTATCAAGAAAGAGTAGGGACTATACAATTTCAAACGCCTCTAGATCTTTCAATCCATCCCTTCCATTTTCTCTTCCATCTCGCAAAGCCTAAGCAATTCAACCAACCATCCGTTAAGTTTTTATTCCCATCCCATACTATTTTGCCCAACTCCAAACTCGGTACTAAATGAGATTCGTCTTCATAGTGTCAAAGATATATCCAAGATGATATTCAATGATTGACCACTCTAAACTCCTCAAAATAAAACCCCCATACATAAAAAGTTCATATCCTACCAATCTATTGAAGCGACTTATACCCCCATTCTTCGCTATTAATGAACAACGCCTTTGGTTTTCTCTCACAGAATAACTGTGAGAAAGGCAGAGAAAACAAGAAACAAAAAGAAATCGGTGCAATTTTTGTTTTGAATAACATAAAAAAGGAAAATGAGTATTAGGCTCTTGTAATGTACCGAAAAAAGTAATAGACGTATGCAAGATTCAGCCAATGACTGATCAGCCGTCCTTCTGCTGATTTTGCTGAAGTTCGAAAGGACAACAAACATATGTTTGCGTTTGTGAAGCTACGTCACTGTCGACTGAAAGTCATCGTTTGAGTCCATCGTACCAATTCAATCTATGTCGGGGTATAATCTCTATACTCATCTGTATGATTCAGAACTCCGCCCAATGCAATCGTTTTGTTTTTAAAAACGCCAGTGAGACCTTGAAAAAAGGACTTATAGAAATTCGTTACTCGTGAGGTGGTAATTACCGGGATCGAAATCGAAATAAATCGCGTGGCTTATTTCGGAAAATCGTCGGGAGTTCGAGTAAAGGATAGATCACATCATGCCTTCTTCACCAATACCTGGTAAACCTCCCATGGGGACTCCGAGACCTGCCAATCCAGCAGCAGCCAAGTGGTTGTTTAATTTGAGCTCGGGGTCGCAGGGAGTGGAATGTTGTTTATGCTAAATTTCATTAGACGACAAATTTTGTGATTCTGAAGAGTTGACAATACTCACATATTTGAGACCATTCAAGTTCTTATATCTCTTGCCACAGTAATCGCACTTGTAAGGCTTCTCTCTTTCCATGCCTTCATTTCCTGAATAGGGAATAGAAGTTTCTGGGTTGACAATCGAGAATGTACCGTCACCGTTTTCGTGCAACTGCTGGGTTTGATGACCGTGCGTCTTGTGATACCTGAATAAAATTAGTATAAATTTAGATCGCACAAGGTAACAATGCTTACTTGAGACCATTTTGATTCTTGTAGGCCTTTTCACATCCGATGACGGGGCATCTAAATGGTTTGTGCTCTTCTCCCATCATCATTCCTGTAGGATCCCCCATTCCATTCATGCTTGCCATCAATTGTTGTTGTTGATATGCTCTCATTAAATCAGTGTTGCTTGCAAATTGTCCTTGGCCTAGCCCAAATTGAGCAAATTGTTGTTGGAGGGCTCTTTGGTTATTGAAACCACCGCCATTAGGACTGTAGAGACGCTTGGCGGGTTCATCGATACAAAGATCCAAGCCTAAATCCTGTCCGCCGAAATTGAAAGGGAAATTCATATTATTCATATTCATATTTCTATTTCCCATATTCATATTCATAGGCATGCTTGTAAAATCTCCATCCATTTCCGATGGGGTACCGGGAGCCGAGGTATCTGGTGAAAATGTCTGTGATTGCTGCATGGGTTGTGCTGTCAAAGTAGGGGTATTAACAGAAGAAACGGTCGGGTTATTTTGAAATCCAAAAGAGGAAGTTGAGGGAGTCGGTGGTTGGGATGCTCGGAGGCCAGAGTGTTGCATGGTGGAGTTAAGATTAACGGTGGGTCTTGGTTGTTGGCCGAACATAGACTGTTGTGCTGCTTGCACAGGCTGATGATTATGTGAAGGCTGAACTGGTGTATCCGGAGTGGAATCCATAGGTCCGATGGCATCGTCCATCTCCATATCTTCGACTCCATCCATCTCATCAGTAGCACCTTGATTAGTTTTTTGTATAGGCGTAGCTGGTTGTGAGCGTTGCTGTTGTCGCATCAATTGAATACCTCCTACACTGGCACCGGCTTGTGGCATCTGTAAGCCCGAAAGCCGAGGCTGTTGTGAAGGCTGGGTTTGTTGCTGCTGAGCATGATGTTGTGCGGCGGATGTGTTTTGTGCTGCAATACCTGCTCTACCGTTGGGTGTTGAGTTTTCCCGAGCTCGTACAATGGATGAATTATTGCGAAGGGATGCTGGGGTCTGTTGCGCATGACACTCTTCGTAATGTTGCAAAAGGTCATGTAGTGTTGGTAATATATTGCCACAACAGCTGAAGTCTTTCATAAAGTTGGCTTCGAGCTTAGGAAGATACGAAGAAGAGTGATATGAAGGTGATTGATATGGAAATGGAGAGGTGCCGGCCATGATAATACTAATCAAAAATTGTCAGTGTCATGAAAATGCAAATCGGGTGCCCCGCACTTGCGAGGGGAGATGGAACATTTTCAATTGGTAATTGCGATGATTGAAGAGTCTCATTCTATGAATCACGAAATGATTGAACCTATGCAATGGCAAAGCGAAGCAAATTGGATTAAACTCACTCATCTCGAATCCAGCTTCCAACAGATACGCCTCCCCAACTCATACCTCCAACGAGGCTACCTGCCAAACTTTCGCGACGAGGACGATCATTAATTCTATTGGGATTGTGCATAGAGATGGGTTTTGCAGCAGCAAATGATTCTTGTCTCGATCGACCCATGCTGTCGTCGAATCCTGTGCCGGTAGTCATGATTCTGGCCGACGCTTGTGAATCCGGGTCGAGATAATTGGAATTCTTGTTGTTGCCTTGGGATGACGGAGATGACGATGTATTTCTTGTGGGCGTGGCAATGTTTATGGGTGAAGACGTTGTCGTCATGTTAGATTTCAAACTGTAGTGATAATCGCAATCCTCTGGCGTCGTCGGGAATGAAGCAGTATTTTGTGAATCGGGAGAAGAATGGGAAGATGCTTGTGGTGGTATATGTAATGTAGAAGAGTTGGAGTTGCTGGTGGCAGTCGAATCGATAAGTATCGAGTCCGGGTGGGTTTCTTCGCATGAGGCGGCGTGGGATTGTTGGAACAAATCAGAGAGAGGCATAGAGATATTAAAAGTGGATCTGATCTCCGGTACTAGGATTATCTAATTAGCGTCGAATGGGAAAATTGTGGAAAGTAAAGTAAAACTAAGAAAGCCACTAAAGCACATTTAACAGTAATGGATTCTTGTCCTTGGTGCAGACGGTGCATGCCACTTGTACCAGGACTGACTGGGAACAAACAACAAGAGGGCCGGACGAGGGGGCAGGGTGGATTAAGTGGAGAGGAAAGTTGGGAAAGGAAGAGAGATGGGATGTGGGCTGTCGGAGGAAACATGGGTTACAAAATGTACTTGGTTCCATTCATGTACAGAAGGCCTCTTGAGCATGTACTAGGTACCAATACGTACAAGTTGAGAAACCAAATATAATCCGGCAACGTTGGGTCGAAAACAACCTACCTAATTGGGCTTTAGTGGAATTCTACCTAGCAGTTCTCATGAACTCGTCTACTGACTACCTTGGTCGTGGATAGACGAATTGACAAATGGAATAGATCTGTAGCAGCTTGGTGCCGTAAGCGAACGTACTCTGGTGAAGGAGATCGATACGGATGGCGAATGCGCTTGTGTCAGCTAGGTACTTATTGGCACTCGTGTGGACTAAAATTGGGTGTGGTCGTGTAGTCGTAACTAAAAGTGTAAGAGGTTTTCGTTTGCCAGAGAGCGAATCGAACGTTGCAAGGTGTATTCAATGTAGGGGAGTAAGCAAGTATGTCACTTCTGATACTTTGGTTTCCGTTGGGACCAATATTTACAAGTCGTTCTGGTCCGTATGGAGGAGTAATGAACAATTTGAAGCCGGGGTTGAACTTGACACACACCAAATCAAGGAGGGTTGTATCGTGGCGCGAATAGTGAACAGGATATGGTAAGATGCACGGTAATTGATGGAGAACTTCGATTACTCTTGCTGCAGGCAAGAGAGTAATATAGATCAAGGGAGTAATATAGGTCAATACGATTAGTGCATGTGAAAGTACCGTTGATAAAATAATATAATGTACGTCTTCCTATGGGGGTCCATTGACTGTATTTAACTACTTCTCAACTGGGGGTTGTCACCGTCTGAAATCAGGGTAAGGAACATTACAGGAGGGTTCAAGCTTGTTACTAGAATTGTGAAATTAAAGTTTGAAGTGATGGATGTTTCGTTCGGATTATCAAAGACCGGGTGGTTGGTTTGTGGTCAATGGGTGGTCAAGCATTTTGTCAAAAATGTTTACAAGGCTCAAGGCTCCAAGGTCTATCTAATGGGTTCAGTCCCAACGCTTTGGATGAGATGTAAAAAGGGCTCCGCAGTTAATCTTTCTAGAAGCTTGAAGGATTCTATCCTTGATGAAGTGTATCTCTAGATGTGGAGATGTATCGACCTTTTTTAGAACCTGCTTGATGCATGAGACAGAATTGAATATGTCTTTCTTTTGCAGTCTACATCATGCTTCGGATGAATTTACTATACTACCGGAATCCTTTAACATGACAGATCCTATGATAAATATACGGTGAGGTGAAACCAAAACGACTCTCCTTTTTTTCGTTCGCCAAATCCAAGCTGTGAGCCCCGCCAAATCTGCCGACGTTGTGCGGGTGCGAACGGAACATGACGATTGAGCGAAGCGACAGTGAGTTGGATTCGAAGAAAACATCTCGACCTTGGAAGGACTAAAATAGAAGGTTGTATACTCCCTTCCCTTCCCTGAGACGTCTCGCTAATGGATCTTGACAGATCTCTCTACCACAGTGGCTCATTCTGAATTACTCTTGAGTCGTGCAACCTCGGTCTCCGATGGAGATGGGGTTTGGAACATCAAGGAGTTGTTTGAAAAGTGACAATCATTACTGAGTATCGCGGTCAATCCAAGAGCATTCAATGCTTCGGTGTGGACATACCACAAGCTATGGATCCGTATAGCTCCCTCTTGCTCATTTCGATGTCATGGCGACCATCATTCGCCAGGAAATCGTTGTGACAATTAGTTCGGAGGCAATATTTAATATGTGCAGCTTGGGAACTCGAATTATTACCCGTACGGAGTAAAGCATCTAATAATTAAATCAAAAGGCCCAAAACCCTGTCATCCGAATGAGTTGTGGACGTGTTCGACGTACGAAGTTGTGGATTGTATATTACAGCCATGATCCTAACTGCGTGTACACGAATCGTATCCATTGCTACATCGTACTGTAACGCCAAACGCCTCGAGTTCGGCAGGTAAAAGTTATGGACAGCAAGCGGTCAAAAGTTTAATCGGCAAAAGAAGACATCAAGATTCAATGGACGGAGTGTACCTCTCTGGATCCATGATGTCAGAGAGCAAAGTCAAATATCTTACTCTGTATGCTTTACGCCAATCAGTATCAGTATCTGATTAACAGGACGGGAAGACGACAAGTAATCGTAAGACCCACGAAGACGTGGGGGATGAAAACCAATCTCGATCCGACTTTTATTTCTCTTTTGAGAGATCTATCATTGTCAATCTTTGACAGCTTGGATGAAGGTTAAAATTCTCGGCTTTACTAGATTGACATTTTTAGATTTGATTAGGAGGCTGACTTGACTCGCCAGTCCCTACCTATCAACATCGTATCGTACGTATGCTAATTGTACCACGTGATTATAGTTCTTGGTATCGAGAGGTGCAATAGTTTTAAATAGATTAATAAGGAATGCTCTAATGGAGGGGTGACCACTGTGACGGAAGTTGAAGAAGTTGAAGAAGTTGAGGAAGTATCAAGAGAGACAAAGTCCAGGCTCATGCTCATGCTCATGCCCAAGCTAAACGCCGAACTTTATGTTGGTAATGATCGGGGCAAAATGTCCGCTGCCGAACATCTTTTGGGAAAGAAGATCTTGGAAGATACAAACATGTACTGACTGGTATGTTCAATGGCCAATGATCAACCCATTCTACTATGCAGTCTACATAGGTACGGGTACTTCATGGTTCACGTCAAGGCACCGTACCAAGTAGATTGGATCTGCATAGAAGTGATGCTCGTCTCTCTTGTGTCTCTCGTGTCTCTTTTCTTCCAATTCTTCCAATTCATTCAATCATACTGTGACACATTATGACTGACATTTGATGTGTGATTGTATATATATATATATATATATATACTACCCAGGTAGATACATATCATTCTTCAGAATCAGGATGTTTTGCTTGCACGTGATCAATGACGGGAATTATCTCGGAAATCGTGATTCGGGATCCCATCACACAAGGTTTAAACTGTTCGGTGGTTAATAACTTGGGTTGTAAAAATTTACATCATCATTTTAATAAAGTGGTTTGGCTGCAAAGAGCTTACAAACCGCTTAACATCCACACAGCATCATAACACCATACATACACCATTTCCGAATATAAAAGTTCTCGGGTTTGGAGAATGGGAAATGGTATTAGATAGTTAATAGATAAACTATATAAAAGAAGAATAAGAATCAGGTCCTTTGTGAAGATAATAAATCCATATCAATATCTCTACTTCTCTACTTCATACTAATAATATTTCTCGGGATTTGATTCCAACTCCCCTCCCCCACTTCTTTAGAGAAAGGCTTTTGAACGACATCATCGACTGACAGCTTATTAACGACCCATTTTCACGAAAACGAAACGTACGATTGATTAAAAAGTACTACGGAAAGTACAAAAAGTACAACAAAAACTACAACAAAAACTACAACAAAAACTACAACAAAAACTACAACAAGACACCAACAAGACACCAACAACTGCAAATACAAGTACAACCCCAAAAGCAAGCAGTATAATAAGTCGAGGAGAACGATCAATCTACTTTTTCCTAAGCTTCTTGCACGAATCCATCGCCATATTACCCCTCAATTCAATCTCCAACCGACAAGTAAATAGCTTGCCACCAAAGAATTCCATCAAACCCGTTACTCGACTTTACATAAAATATGAAGATTCTTACCAAGGAAGAAGAGGCTGAGCACTACAATGCTACTCTAAAGGGTGGTATTACAGGAGGTTTCGTTGGTCTGGCAATGGTACATATTTGATCCCAATCTGAACATCTCACTCAAACACAACTGACCGAGTCTCTCAGGGTGGCGCCGCACTCTATGTAGCCAATAGACGATTCCACACTATCCGCAGTCTCACCATTCCCATGAAAAGTTTCCTCGTCACATCCTCCGGTACTTTCGCCTCCATCATCAGCGCGGATCGCGCATCTCGCTCATTCGAATGGAATCGCGACCCCTCGAGAAATTATAAGGACAAATCAACACTCCTTCTCGAACAAGAAAAAGCCAATGAAACTACTGCGCAACGCCTCAAGGCATGGGGAAAAGAAAACCGATACTCAATCGTTACCGCATCGTGGGTGGCCAGTATGGGAATCGCCTTTGGGATGGTTTCCAAAAACAAATATTTGACAGGAGCCCAGAAATTGGTACAAGCAAGAGTTTATGCGCAAGGTTTGACATTGGCCGTATTGGTTGCATCAGCGGCATTTGAGATGGGAGATGCGAAGAAAGGAACAGGAAGGTGGGAGACGGTTACCGTGTTGGATCCAAATGATCCAGAACATAAACATTTGATCCAGAAGAAGATTCACCATGAAGCTTACGAAGGAGAAGATTTATGGCGTGGTATGTTCCAGCCCTGCCCAGAGTGCTGTGGCCAAAATTTGAATCTATACTAATTGATATGAATAGATATGGTAGAAGCTGAAGAGCGTCGCATTAATGACCGCAAGCGAGCAGCAGAAGAAAGAAATCACTCCTCGGGCAAAACTTCCTCGGACAAAACTTCCTCGGGTAAAGAAAACAAAGATAAAATCTCTAGGGAGATGAAGAGTGCTGGAAAAGTATCATTTGCAGATGCTAAAGAAAGAGAAGATAAGAACCAAGCCGAGCAAGCTGAAAAGGAAGCAGATGCAAAAAACGAAGCAGCACAGGCTGAACCAAAAGTCAATGGTAAAAATAAGATTTAAAAATGGAGGATTTCGCTATCGAATCTTTCCGGTGTTTTGTACGGGCTTTGGATGGCATGCTGAGTCATTTCTGGATGATAGATTGGGGGTTAATTAAAAAGGGGGGTGTTTGGAAAAGGGGTCGAGTAATTCTGTGTATACTCCGGTTCTTGTATCATTAGCATGACAAACAAACATGTCTCAAGTAATTTTTGCCCTTTGATCGGCTTGCATTGTTGTGGTATATGGTACATTCAAGATTACCCCCATTATTTGGCAAGCGCCATTCAAATCAGTCGACTTAACTCGGCTGATGAAAATAAGAGCTGGAAATACCTACCTACCATTCCCATTAGACCTTGGTTGGGATGGCGAGTGTGCTTTCGCATCTGATGTAGATGTGCTGTGTGCTGTATAGATTCATTGTAAAGCCAGGAATAACGGGTTGGTTGGTGAATCAATATTCTTGTATAGGTAAATGTGCTTGGTAAATACACTTATACTTATGTGTGTATAGACAGTACAGTCACTTTCATTATTGTCTGATACTGGACCCCGGGTGGGGGGTGTATAAAAGTTTTCTCGTCTCTTCTCTTCTGTTTTGTTTTGTTTTGTTTTGTTTTTGGTGCCTTCCTGGGGAGCTGAATTGGTGGTTTGGGATGGATGGGTGGGTTTGGATGGATGGGTTCGGATGGATGAATGAATGGGAGTGGGAGTGGTACCTAGGTATTTGATATTTAGATGGTAGGGTTGGGGTTTTAGTATGAGGGGTGAACGAGGGGGGAGTTGGAAATGGAAATAGACGGGAGGGAGATGGATTGCTTTTTTGATGGTTTGAGTTGTTATAGAGAGAGGAGGTAGGTGGTGGTGAGAAGATTTTTGGTGAATTGGATTGCTTGGTTGGGATTAGTCAAGGGGGGAGGGGGGTTAAGGGAGATTGGTGTTGCGGATTATAGTTTTTGATCTGTTTCTCAGGGGGGCTCCGAATCTTTGTATCTGCTTCTTTTGTTTACTTTTCTCACATTGCGCGGTCCTTGAGAATGGGATCTTTCGTCACTATCTACGTCCGTCGAGATACTGAGTGTTGTCCCCCTGAATAGTAACTCGTGGGAATAGATGATAGGTAATGGCGAAAGTCTGGAATACAGAGTCCAGGCCGTCGATAATTTACTCAGAGTATTGAATCGAGTCGAATCCGCATACGAGGATTCGGGTGGATACTGAAGACACGATAACTTAAACAGCTGTAGTAGCGGGGATAGTTTATTGGGAATGGGGAAATTATAGAGCTAGGTAGTCTGAGATTCTCGTGACTGGTGTGGATATGGACTTGAGATTCGAAGATCTGATGGTAGTGTTCGGAGGGTTTGAGAAGCTAAAATCATTTTGAGCATTTGTTTTGGATGGTGAGAGGTTGCGTGGTATATGGTGTCTATTTGGTGTGGGCTTTGGAAGAGCTTGGATGACTTGAATGACCAGGATAGATTGGATAGCGTGAGAGAAGAGTCGGCTCTGGATGAGATGGGATACTAGAGAAAGCTTTGGAATGGAAATGTGTTGCTGGGTGTGAATGTCTGATGTTACACACCATCTAAATCCTAGATCTAAAGTGTCTTGTTTCTATTATTCAGGAAATCATTCGCAGTACACATGCGGCGTATTATTCGCAGATCTAATTGTCAGATGATCGCCACATTCTCTTGAACTCGCAGCTTCTTTGACAATTCTTTGCCCATCTTATTGGTGTGCTCTTGTAGATGCACAATCCTTGACGTACCAGTATTAGGGTTTCTCGTTCCATGATATCTGAAGGATGAAGACTGTGGTCGTCGCCGTTCAGGATCCCGGCAATATAAGGAGTGTTAATATTGATGAGCCTCAACTCCACTCAGATTACTTTCAGGTTGAAACGATGGCATTTATTTTGAGCTCAAGTGCTACCTTACTGCAAGACGAAGAACAGATGGGTTATGCTGATATTCACAGCTAATTCGAGTTACGTTGAGTTACCGAGTCAGATTGGTGTATTGTTGGTATGCCTTCTCTCTAACGCTTCTTACATGTTGCGCAATACTTCGATACCACACAGAGAGTGCCATTACTCGGATATTGTTGAAACAGTATGCAAGGCTTGCAGAGTAAACATCCGGATCGGAGATAAAGTATATAGTTTGTTTCATGGTGGTAACAATCATATATCCCAAATGATGGGAATATCCTCATGGAGAAATCTGAGCGCACCTTAGCAGACTGAGCTATCGCTGAATTTTGCGACCAGAGCACGGTCTATGTGTGCGGATTCCGGGGAATCTCAACTTTGAAAAGCGGGAGCCCTTGGTGTGGAATCAATAGTACTGGATGATCTTCCTACTCATTCATCACTTGGCTTCTCAGTGTCGGTAAAGAAAGTTCTCTCGCTGAGTTAGATCATCATCTTACAGCTCTTTTGTCTGCGAAACCTTGCCTCGGAGAGATGTTGATGTGAGGAAAACTCTTGTATACACTATCAGCGGAAAAGGTTTTCGGAAAATTGGGACGCCAATTCCGGTGATGGAGAAAGATTTTGAGTTTGGGAAGAGGTTTTATGAGCTTAGTAAGGGACCGGTTGAAGGGAGAATTATTGGGTCGCTGTCGGCGGGAGTTTGTAGAGCTGGATTGAATGGTTATGAATAGGAGGGGAGTGTACTTGCACTGGAAGTTTTATTGAGAGAGAGAGATGCGAATATGAGGAGTAGGTCTCAAGGTTTTAGGGAGAATAGGGTTAGTGATAGGAGTTGATTGATAGGCTGCGACTTCACGAATGCTTGAGCGAAAGGGGGTGGATTTGAGACGAGGGAGTCTCGAGGAAGTGAAGAGTATGGCGTCACATCTGGTGAGATGGCCAATTGGGCTTTCTAAAGGTTTGGGTTGCATTTCGACAAGGCAAGATGCTAGTTTGGACCAGTGAAGAGAATGTTGGCTGGCTGTACGTTCAAAACGTGAGGTGGCTGCAACCTTCAGTTCCACCACGATAGATAACACTGCTAACGGAACCTATCTTCTTTCAAAATTCAGAGAGTGAATCTTGGCTTCTATTATGCTGTACCATGCAGCTACATAGATTCGACGATTTCTTTTCTCGTCCAGTTGAAGTCTTTCTTTTCGTACAAGTGCTGGTCGATTACCCGAGGGGTGTTGGATGTCGAATGTTATTTTTGGGGGTTCTCAGTATGTGGATGCAGCAATCGGGGAGAAATTGTGGCGGACTTCATGTTATTATTTTAGTAGAAGGGGTATCACTCCGTTTTATCTTTGTAAAGAATATTAAAGATGCATGAGGTCATGCGAACAGCTTGTTCGGATGCCCAGCACTTCTGCAGAAACATGTAAATCAATACTTTGAACCACAAAAGTTCACACATGGCCCACGATATTTCTCCGTGAAGCTTCGTGCAGATTTTCTCAAGAACTCAGACCAATTCAATATCAATTTATATCACGAAGAAAGTGTCAAAAATGAGAAGATTTGTGGATTTATTTCTATATACAGTGGTTCCACTAGAATCTTTCAGATTACAAAATTATACATTACTATCAGATCACACCCTCAGTCTTGCTTGAGTATCATCTCAAGAGCTAGCTTCGGCAAGGATAACATCTGCAGCCTTCTCACTGATCATGTAGATCGATAGTGCAATGTACATACCCGGAATCTTTGGGAAGACACTAGCATCAACAACTCTCAATCCATCGACACCTCTGACCTTGAAGTTGGTATCCAAAACGGCCATTTCATCATCATCAGCTCCAATAGGACACGAACACGATGCATGATGTCCCCAAGCCTCATCGAGCGCAAATTGCTTAAGATCTTCCTCAGAAGTAATGCTCTCATCGGGCCAGATACGAGTGAAGGAACCATCGAGCGGAATGAGGTTCTCGAATGCTTCGATTCCAAAATTCATTCCCTCGTACACAGCTTGGAGATCCTCGTCACCACCAACACCGGTGTCGAAGTAGTTGAATACGATTTCGGGGGTATCACGGGGATCGGCGGATCTCAAATTGACGGTTCCCGCATTGTTGCGCGAGTGCGCTTTGAGGGTCAACCAAGTCCAGATATTGCGCTTTGCGAGCGCGTGTACGGAGTAACCGGGGAAGTATCCGTTGAAGTAAGCGGGAACTCCTCCGAGGTAGAGATCTTGGACTCCGTCTGCAACAGAGGAATGTTTAGGGTATGCGAGAGCGATTCCGTTGGTAGAGTATCCACCCTTGAGCAATGGAAGAGTCTCCCATTGTTCGAGACAGGGATCGGTGCCATTGAGGAAGGTACATTCTTTGAGTAAGGAGAAGTCGGATGTGGAGTTTCCGACAATACCAACTTCGTAACGATCTTGCATGTTGGTGCCTACACCGGGTAAATCAACAATAACTGGGATACCGAATTTCTCGAGCTCGGCCTTGGGACCAACACCAGATAACTTGAGAATTTGAGGGGTGTTGAATGTACCACCTGAGACGATAACTTCTTTGGTGGCGGTAACACTTCCGTAGGTGCCTTCGGAATCGTCGACATTTTTGCTTCGGGGATCAGCGCGGTAAAGAGATTTTCCAACGATGAATTCAACTCCGGTGGCTCTTGGTTTAGCAGCAGTAGTGTTGAATTGGACCTTGGTGACAAGAGTGTTGAGTTGCACGTCTAACTTGTATTTCTTGGATCCATCCGAGTTAGTAGCATTTGCAACGCTCCAGACAAAGTCTCGAGGAGAAGAACGAGAGTATTCGGGGAACTTCATAGCGAGAGGAACCTGGTACAAAGCATCGACTTGATCGCGATTTGGAGAATCGTTGTTAATGTCAAGAGCGAGAACTTCGGCCAATCCAGTGACTGTGGTTATCAGGCTTCCAAGGAGACCCTTGCCCATAGTAGTAGCTGCGGCAATAACGAGCGAAAGAACCTTTTGATCTTGAACAATGAGTTCTGGGTTGGTTACTTCGGTCTGCAACCAGCCGTCGAAACCATGGCCTGTGACATCTGTGCT